AGAGCAAAACCCAGTTGGCAAAGAGGGTGGCAAGCTCAGCAATTTGCACACACACACACACACACACACACACACACACACACGCACCTGCCCCCGCGCACACACACACACACACACACACACACACAATTGAGTGACACTGGGATTGTCCAGAAGGTTTCCCAAAAGGAGAATTGTCCTACTTGAAGATTGAAGGAAAGTAGAATTCAACCTTAGCAGGAAAAGAAGTCCACTGCAGATCAACAAAGCTGAAATATGTAAGCCCATGGGAACAGCTCTGCTAAAAGAGGAGAAATTGCATGACAAGTGACAGAGTTCCAGTTGTATGTTGGAGTCAGACCAGAGAAGATAGAGACTCCATGGTAACAAACCTGATCTTCATTTTGAAGGAAATTGGGATCTTCAGTAATTTTAAATGAGAGAGTGTCATGGTCACTTTTGCTCCTTAGAACAAACACTCTGAAGGGTATATCGAAATTGGTTAATGTCTGCTAGTGTCTCTAACTTTAAGTGACTAGTGTCTATATATTGAGGTATAATTTTTTAAAATTTGAATCCATCAATAGATGGATGCAGAGCAGGTACAATGCAGATCTTCACCCATTTGGTTGCTATATAACCATTTTGAACTTGTGCAGTTTTACTCTTTACAAGTAGATTGACATCTCCTACTTCATGGTGCTGAAATGGAAACAAGTGAGACAAAGCTTTACAAAACTCTGTAATAAAGGAAAACACTTAAGAATTGCTCAAAAAATTTCCACGACTTTAATATCATTATTATGATGAGCAATTTTTAAAGAATGTTCCTAGCCACTTTATCACATGAAGTTACGTAGACATTGAGATTGCATGTGGGAGAGGAAGCTGGAATGAGAAAGGGAGCGAAAGAAAAAATGAGATTGAGAGAGACGCTTATCTGCTTCAGACAACGGGGGGTTTTATGTAAGCAGATATGAAGAACTGTACAAACTATCATAAATAAATATTATTTTACAACTAGCAAAATACAGCAACCTCTGGGGTAATATGAAGCAGCTGCTTAGCAGAGCACAGTCTCTCTGCAGGGGAAAGGAGTACTTTAGTCAACCAAAACCACAGGTACTGGTGTTAATCAAAACATGCTTCAGGTAAAGATCATAATGTGTGTTTTCACAGCATTAATTAAGAAACCAAACTATTATCTGGAGGCAAATTAAAATGAGAAAGCTGCGCGATTAAAACTTCTATGGAGCAACCATTATCCATAACTAGTCTCACAGAATCGTGAAGAAAATAAGGATAAGAAAAAGGCAAATCATATACCCCCACAGGGATGTAAGTTTGCATAGATTTATGGTTTTCACTAGTGAGAGAATAGCTTCTTGGATTTACAGAGCAAACCAATGTAGCATATTGATAATTTGAGTTGTTTCCTACTTCCCAAAGAATCTGAGGTACGATTGAAATATACAGTGTTTAAATTTAAAAATTCCAGGAAAAGATGCATTGCCATGTATTCCTCTCAAGACATTCTCCCTCACTTAGAACACACTTCCTTTGTCACTTTGCCACTTTCTGAAGCAGTTCTGAAATTTTTTTTTTCTGAGCATCTTTACTGTGCTGCCTAAATTTCCTGAATTGATTCAAAACATTTATTTTTATGGCCATTTTGACACTTGGGAAGAGCCGGGACTTCCATCGTGCCAGATTTGCTGAGTAAGGTGAGTGAGGGCACATCCTCGTGTTTTTACAAGCCTGTCATTCCATTACATAGCACATGTCAGAGCAGTCACTATACTTTCTATTGTATCCAGCAGCAAAACAGAAGAAGTGTTCCAGAACTGCTTCAGAAAGCGGCAAAAATGGTTGGACAGGTGTAGTCAAATTGAAGGGATAGACGAGGAGGAGGATCCATGGCAAGATATCTTTTATTGTTATAACTTTTATTTTAAACATTCACCACAGTGTTAAGCACCCTTGTATCATTTAGGTATAACAAGCTTTCTTCAAAAGAGAAGTGGGTGGTTTAAGATGTTATGGAAATCTCTTCTTTTTTTATCGAGCTATTTGTTTTTCTTTCCTGGCGTGAAGATTGAACCCTGGCCTGTGTTCTTACACTGAGCCACTCTCCACACCTCCCAGTCCATTTCCCTAATCTCTGTATGTCTGCACCGCAGTTAGGAGCTATGCCTGTAGACAGGTAATGAGATTCATTCTCCTTTTAGTACCATGCTGCTCAGAGATCAACATAGATCCTGGCTGCCCTCACCATAAAGAGAAAAATGATACATGGAAAAATTAAAAACTATGTCCGGAAAACTCCAAATATGCTGACCAACAACACACTTGAAATTCCCTCTTTGGTGGGTTGTATATGGCTATCCATGTATTCTTTTATTCTTTCTAATGAAATGCTATTATTTGTGAGAGAAAAAGACAATAATAAACCCCATATCGTGCATGATTGATTATATCTCTTTCTTTTACTACAAAGGAAGACTGAAGCTAGTTATGGGGGGAAAGGCAAAAGCAGAATTTATAATAAAGTGATGGCGTAGAGAGAGGAAAAAAGGACGCACTCTCTTCTACCCTGTAGGAGAGATGCCTGATAAGACTTTTGTGAAAACTTGACTGAGGAAGAAGGATTAGAGCAGGCAACACACAGCCTGGCTTTTGCCTGTGGATGTTAAAGGGTTTTATCCAAGCAACTGGAAAGAAGACTTGGGAGCAAAGTTTTAAATTCAGATGTCCCGGAGGGACGCTCAGGCCATTCATTAATACCCAATTTACTCATTCTTTCTGATCTCTGGTCTTGCAAAAGAAATTTGTCTTTGCTCTTTTCATATTATTCTTGACCCCTCCAAGAAACTCTTAAATTATCATTAATGCCCATAATATTTTTACTAACTCCCACACATTTCTTCTTAACTTTCATTTTTCTCTTTTTTAATGCATTTTGATTGATGTTTTCTCCAGAGGTCACAACAGAATAAAAGTCAGAAGTGACTGTTGTCCCAACATGGAAGAATTTAATACTGTAGTCTATCTTTTTAAACAGATACCATCAGTTGAGTCCTTTGCAAACTGCTTCCCACCATCCTCCAGTTTCATAAAGCATACACATATAAATTAAACAATAAAAAAGCAGCGTAGGAACACTGTTTAGCCCCACTTGGTGATTTTCAGCTGGTCAGAGAAAAACAGAGGGGCTTGTCTCATCTGATATACATACCTCCATGAATACACCATTCCAAGGAAAACAAGAAGATCAGTCAGTGAGGCTCAATTTCCCTCTCCGCATTTTGACAGTTGGGCTGGGCAAGGTTCCACCTGCACCGCCATGTGTCTGTACATCACAAAACTGGTCAGCTCTTCCCCTTGACCTCTGGGATTCCAACATCAGATGGACTGAGCTGAAGGAAACAGCTGGCCTGCAGATGTGCACAACTTACCCACATTTAAACAGCCGGGGCAGATGCAAAGGCATTTTTGAATATGTACCCAATTCCGTGTGGTCAATCAACAGCCTTTGGTCTGTTTTGATGACTCTGACAAGTACAACTGTGCCCTGCTTAGAGGCAATGGAAACAGACTGAGGAATATTAGATGTGGTGGATATAAAATGAGGGTTTGAGGCTAGGTGTATATATGCCATCAAATTGGAAGGATAATGAAAGGTGTGATCGTCCTGGAATATAAACTGAGTGTAAGTTTTGCAAATGCATGCTTAAAAAGGAGTAATCTTGGTGAAAGAAATGAGTCAAGATCAGGCAGATGTGTCTGGAAACTGCTATCCATCAAGACTCATATAATGTAGGAGGTGAAGTTATCTACCTAGTCGTCATCAAGGAATGAAACATCTTGTTAGTGCATGCACGCATCTATCTCAGTCCATGTGATCTCTTTTCTCCTTTTCTTTTTGTGTGTATGTGTTTTTGAGATAGGGTCTTGCTGTGCAGTTCAGGCTGTTCTTGAGCTCACTTTGTAGCGCAGGCTGCTCTCAAAATTGCAGCGATCCTCCTGCCTCAGGCTCCCGAGTACTGGGATTACAGGCGTCTGCCACCACGTCTGGCTTCCTTTTTAATTTTACGAAAAAGATGAAACAAAATTTTCCAACAAAAATGATAAGAGAATAACAATATGATTTTACAGTACATAAAGAAACAAACACCAGCCCGCCAATATAAAAACTATTTACCTTGCCTGGAATCATATCACCTGATCTAGACATGGAAATAGTCAATACACTGAAAACTGAAAAGGAATATTAGAAACAGGCCAATTTCATTTTACAGGCACTTTAGTATTTGCACTCAAGATACCAGAAAGTAATGGTTTTCACCTTTTTCAAACTAATTAAAGTAGAACATATTCAGAAGAGACTTCTAGCACGTGTAAAGAACAGTGTTGGATAGTGATTTATTTCAGAATCTACTATCTCTGTTTTGTTCTAATCTCAGATAAGCCATTGCCAGCCACATCATCCCTTTGTTACAAGGGATTTGGTCAACCTCACAGATACTTAGTGAGACTGGTATAATACTCCATGGTCATAGCAAAGGATGGCTCTGAGTTGCTGTCTAATTGTGAAACTCATTAGTTACACAGCCTTCATTGCTGACATAGCATTCTTACCTTAATTCTTTGAGATTAAAGCTAGGAACTCTATGTTACGATAACAAATTATTTTAACTTCCTCTCTTAAATCATGTAAACACTTTCTAAAATTAACCTAGAGAAAAATTACAAACTAGGTGTAGCTTATTACTTAAGAAAAATCATAAGTATAGATTCTATTTGAAATTTCCTATATATATTAATTAATAAGTAATATACTTATACCTCAAAATATAAATGGCAGTTATGCACAAATAAAACAGAAAAACCTCTTAGGTAGTAAGGTATAACATTAGAGGCAAATATAAATATTTGGGAAAATACTACAGTATCTAAGGCTGTATCTATACTAAGAAATTATGAATGCCAAAGAAATAAAATATATTGCACAGAAATATTTACAATTAAATCTGATAATGGCATCGATGAGGCATCCTTATACATTCTAGATCTATAGTAATTCATTTTTGTCTAATTAATATCTGCAGGTCCTTGAAAAATCCATGAAAATAAATGTCTCCTTTTATTTAACCTTCATTTCCACTCTCCTCCGGTGTCCTTGTCCACACCTCGGGTTATACAAAGCATCTTGAAAACAAGGCAAACAGAAATGGAATCTCACAGCATGATGTTACCTTCCTTCTGCATGACTGGCTCCTACAAGAATCGAGGAAAAGAATCCATAGCATCGTAAGAATGCATGCACAGCTTTTGGTTTGATCCATGAATTATAGATGTACTTCTAAGGGGCCATTTCCCTTATGGTTTCTCATGCAAAAACAGTCTGTAAATATCTAACATTCTTGACCCAATATGTTAATCAGGCAGCAAGGTAGACATCAGTGGCCTCTCTATGCTAAGCTTAATTAATGACATGTATAACTATATGGCCCCATCAACTCCCTTTAAATATACATAATGGGATACATTTTCCCACAAGGGCCCAAAAGTTTGTGTTTTCTAGTCATGAAGTTTTGCTCACTGTTGTGAGGTCAGCCCATTCATTTCTTAGCATTCTTGGTTCCCAACTGCTATTTAAGCTGTTAGTTCATTGAGTTCATCTGTCATGGGTCTGCTTTAACATGCTTGCCAAAGGCTCTGAGAACTGTTCCCGCTTTGCTATTTCTTTGTGCTAATGAATCACTTTGAACTAGTCAGATATATCGTCACCACTGAATGTAATTCCTTATGTGGGTTCGATGTAATAAAATCAAGCTGAATACTTGCACCTGCTAACTTGGCTACATTGCCTATTCATTTGGGCTTTGTCATGGGTATCTGCAAGTCTAGGGAAGAAGTCCTCTTGCTTTGTGAATACACAGTGAGATAAGGCACAAGCCCTGCATTTCAAAGGACCAAGACACAGCCACCAAGCGAACAGTGAAGCAAACTGACCTATTTAAAGCTCTTCAGAGCTCTCCATGGACACAGCCAAACTTAGCTTCTGAAACAAAATACATAAAATAAACGACATGGTCATAGTTCTGATCACTATGATTATGATTCACTTAGCATTAGGTTTCTCTGGGGTTTTTACTAAAATGGGGATAACTGGCTCAAAAAATATCTGCCATCTCCATAAACATCTCATTTAGAAACAAAAAGAATTCCTGTTTGTTTGCTACTTTCTTTATTAACAAGCACCTTACTGCCATGTTTTTGTAATTTATTTTCACTTAAAGCCCTAACTTAAAATGATCATTCCTAGAAAAAGTGATTTGTAGGTCTCTACAGTGTCTATAAAATATGCTTGAGTCATGTATAAAATATATCATTTATAGCTGGAAAATATTCAACTTGGGGAGATACCATTAAAGCCAAAACCACAATTTTGTTTATCTCTTTGGAAAGACATGAAATTTCCTAATAAGCATTGAACAATAAGTCCCAGTTGCTTTGGCTTAAAGATTCTGAATGTCTTTATATATTCTAATTTCAAGTAAAATATGTTCTTTTGACTATTAGAATTAAGACCTGGCACAGAGTTTATATCTGTCTATTTCCACAGGACCTTACTCTTTTGTGGTTTCCTTTATGAAAATCTCTCCAGGGAGAGAAGAAATCAAGGAATGAGCCTGAGATGGCTTACATGCTATCTAGATAGGTGTTGGGTGTTCTTACTAAAACCACCTGTCTAAATCCGACAAATCCTGCCAGTGCTGACCGCTGTGGTGATAACACACCTGTGAGCTCCACGAAGTACATGACTAGCACATGGTCACCACGAAAGTGTATGCCTTCTTTCCTCAGATATTTTTAGCCCCTACTCTGCATCAGGTGCTGCAGAAAGACAGGAAACACAGTGATGAATTAGACCGGCCCAGTCTTCAAGTGGCCCTAATCCACCCAGCACTCATTCACTCAAACCAAAGGAAGATGGCATTTGCTTCTGCCAGTTTCACACGGTGTGCATCATGTAACTTTTCTATTCATCACAGAAAGGTTAAGAACTGGCGATTTCAACCAAAAGACATCTACTCTATATTGCTTATAAGCAAGGCGGTGTGTTAGGCGCTTTATGAGATGCAAAAATAACTGAAACTGTTTGGCTGGGATAACACAATAGTAGTTACTCTAACGAATGTTTCATTAGACTTTAAAACTTATCTCCATGATTCAAAGTCCTTCTGAACGAACATCTACTCAATTTAGCCATCTCTGACTGCTGAGCTAGTGTTGTCACATTTCTTTCTGGCAATGTATACGAACCCATTTTCTCTCTGAAAAAACCAGATGCATATAGTTACATATATTTAATATTTTCTTCCAGATGTTGGCGTATTTGTGGAACTCTTCTGTCCTATTCACATCCCATACTGCTTAGAAAGGCACTTAATAAGAATTGAATATTTTTTGCTATGACCGGACAACGTGTCATTTAGCTGTAAAAGTCACTTTCAAATTGTAACTTACATTCTTCAGACTCTTAAGAAAATCTCTTGCTACCTAGTGATTATTCACTACTCTTATGTACATATGCAAACATTTGAAAGGAGAAAAGGTGCTGACAGAAGCTTTACTTGTAGGAATGTGACTCAGGATCATCCCTAGTATGAACCGAGACTCTGTTCTGAATGACAGACATTTCCCGAGTTTCTTGCTCCAGTAAGTAACGTGCTCATCCTCTTATTCTTCGGAAGATCTGAAATAAGAGCAGCATAGTTGTAGAAAAGTTCCTCATGAAAGAAAAATAAATGAACTCGCTGGTGAATCTTTTGTTTGTTTCTGTAAGATAAGTGTGTAAAATTTTAAGTGTAAAGCTACTGCTTACCATTCTTAATTATTCCAACTTTACAATGCATATTTTAATAATAACACCAACAGATCACCCAAACTATCAAAGATGCTGTGAATTTTAGAGAAACATTAAATATTTCTTAATGATAGCTGTTCTTACTGGGGTGAGATGGAATCTCAATGTTTTAATTTTCCTTTCATGAATAACTAATGATGCTGAACATTTTCTCATGTATTTATTTGCCATTTGTGTTTCTTTATCTGAGAAATGTGTGTTCATCTCACATGCCCATTTTTGTATTGGTCTTTGAATTTTGGGGGGCTGATTTTTTTAATTCTTTGTGTGTTCTAGATAGGAGTCCTTTGTCCAAGGGATAGTCAGCTAGAATTTTTTTCCCAATTTGTGAGTTTTCTTTGTTTATCTGAGTATCCAAATTGAAGATATCAATATGTAATACAACAACCATTATTAATTTCCTATCACCTTGTCTGAGATTCTGTATTGTTTGTATTGTTTTTGTGTTATTTTCTAAATGTATGTGTTTGTTAAGATGTTTTTATTCATTTGTCTTTAAAATAAAAAAATGAAAAAATAAATATTACCATTAGAGTGCATAGAAACTGTCCTTGATATTTGTTACAGCAGAAAAAAATATGGATTTTTCTCTTAACCATCAAAAGGCTATTGCAAATTAGCATTTGAAAACATTAAAATAATTATTCAGTAGTTTGAATTTAGGGGGAACCCAAACCTTCTTTATTCCTTAGTAGATTGACAGTACATTACAAATTCCAACGATTTATATTTGAAGACCCCAGCTTCCCAAGCCAGCCCGCCATGTCACATCCTTGAGGAATTATGGCCGTTTAATCAGGACGGAGCATTTCCATGTGCAACCCTTAAGCAGCGGTGCTATGCCCATGTTTTCTCCGGTGATAGATGAATCCACTTACTCCACTGCTTTCCGCCTGACAGTGCTTCAGACGCCCTGGAAAAGTTCACGTTTCCCAATATATCAAAATTTAGCAGCACAATGACCTTCTAATATTTGTTTTCAACTCTTTATGACAAACAGTTCATTACTTTCCCAAAACGCAGAGGAAGGAAGTCCAGCGATGCTCACTGGAGCACATCAGGAGCTGCAGTACATTCTAGAGCTGGAAATTGATGGCAGGGAAACCTATAAAGACAAGTGTAAGGGAGCTTCCTAAACCCCTGATGCTATGAGAGGTAAAGAGTTAGAATTACAGCTGTCTTACCTGCCATTTAGTGTATTGTTAAAGAGATGTATAACTCTCTTCTACAGCATTCTGTTTGAAATTGTCACTCAGGTCACACCCAGCCAATCTAAAACCCTCTAGGACAATCCCAAGGTCTCAATAGGCAATGCGGATTCTTGGATTCATACTCTAATCGCCTGTGTACTTTCATATTTTAATAGAAGGCATTGAGATAGTGTGTGACTTCAGATTGTACTTTTGATTGACACTGGGGCTGAAACTAGAAAAAGAATACCATGTGTTTTGGCTTTGTTTATTATTATTTATCTCCACACTTGATTAACCCTTCAGTGCTTCAAGCTTTTCATGGAGAAAAGAAGCACACACAGATCTGTCCTCATGAATCAATACTTTCTAATATTCATGTGTCAAACGCTAGGCATTATTTTATGTAATCCACTCAACAACCTATGAAGGAGGTAGTTAGCATTACTCCCTTCATTTCACAGATGATGAGGGTGAAGATGCAGCAGCTGAGCTCATCCATCCCCACTGCCAGGAAGACACAGAGCAAGGTTGTGACTCAGCAGCTTGGTGTCCGGTGTCAGAAGCTACCACCTGAACACTGCTCTCACCTGAGTATTTATCACTGGATGAACAGTCTTCTAAACTTCCCACAAAACTCTGCCCTGCCCCAGGGTCAACTCAGAACTTGATAGCCTCCCAGTATTTCAGCTTTTCTCCCTAGGAAATATGATCCCCCAAACCGGATCCCACACCCATCTTCTATCATCAGGCACATGAAAGCAGAAAGAGAGCAAGAACATTCAAGAATCCCTCAAAGGATGCTTTGTGTAAGAGAACTGGTTTTTCTTCTATTTATTTCTTTTAAGGAGACAATAATTAATTACTTTCTCCTAATAGGGCATGAGGGTTTCATCACCTTTCCAAGTGAATGGAAGTGGTTACATGAAGGGATATGGCCAAACAAATTGTGAGACAGTGTCAGAGCTTTGCAGGAAAGGCTGGTAACCTGTGAATAATGACTACAGTGGGTGCTGAAGGTAGGAAAGGAGGCACAAATGCCAATTGTTTGCCCCCTCTACCATAAAATGGTTACTGTAATTGGAACGTCTCCGTGGGAGTTGAGGGAAGAGGAAAGGTCTTAACTCTACCTTTGTATATCTTGTCTTTTTCACCCCCTTTCATCCCTATGCTATTCCTTTTCCTTTTCTGATATCTACTCCCCATTTAATTAAATGTGTGGGTGTAGAGGTAGAAAGGAAACTAGTAGCAGTATCTCCAGACCTCACCAAGTCTCTCAATTAATGATAGGCAAACTTTCCCAGTGACATTCTCTCCTTCCCCAACTCATTGGTTTTAAACTGTGAGTGGGTGTAAAGTTGACCAAAGGAGATGGTCTCAAATGTAAACTCTGAATTTCATCCTCAGAAAATCTGGATTAGAAACACAAGGCAAATAACCATAGATCTGCCTTTCATAGGCATTCTAATAGTTTCTGAGATAAACAGCTTTGGACCACAGTTTAAGCAACACCATCCTAAACCCAGGTAAGTGTCCCTATTACACAGGAGACCTGACAGAACTTAATGTCTTCAATACATTCTGTTCTTCCTTCCTGTTTCCAGAAAATTTATTCCTCCTAAAAATAAATCCAATGTGACATGGCTCAGGGGCAGCATCACAGCCTTGTGTTTCAAGATGAAACTGCAAGTGTGTGTTCTTCAGCTCAGTGAACCAACTTCTTCTCTCCACTTGTTCCTATTCCTTGCTTTATTCTCTTCATTATTTATGTATGTGACATTTCCCTTCTCCTCACTGCTACAGAAGCATACATCATTTTGAGGGTGGAATTGTATCAGACATTCACTTTACATTCCTTACCGTGAGCACACATCATAAGCATTCAAAAACTTTTTTGAGGAGAATTAAAAAAAAAAAAAAAAGCCCAAGAGCAACTGATTTAAAAAGACCTCTTGAGCATGTCTATCCACAACTCTAGAGCTCTAGATGTCTCTTATGGTTCTCCAAGATCACTAACCACCATGCAGTGAGGGCTCTGACCAGGTGCCACCCCTAGTGTTGTGCTGAGGGGGCTTCATTTCATTTAGTTCTCAAACATCCTAGTGAGATCAAAGGAGGCAGATGGAGGAAAGAGCACAAAGCTTTACTACTCAAGGCGGCTTCGCATTGTTTGCAAAACAATGGCCGCTGAATCCACACCCAATCAAACCAAGTCTGCAGGAGCTGTTGAGTATAAAGACATGGCCCTGGACATCAATCATCCCCACACATGAATGAGGAGCTTGTGTGGAATGGTAGTTATATTTATAAGCCTGCACAACCTTGACTCCTCCTCCCCCACACATGCTCACAAGCTCCATTCTGTTCAAGACACAAGGGTGTCTTTCAATTTATCCTTTTTTTTTCTTTTGACCTGCGTGGATATAAGGATTACAGGTTTCCTGCCTGTCTAGGAAGAGTGATGGCTTTGCTCTCTAAGAACTTAACTCCCAGGCTTAATTATTATGCGAGTGGACCAGTATATTAAGCTTGTAGGCTGAAAGCAATTTAAAGTCTATGCTGCATTGACTTTCAAATTATTTCATTTCTAATTCAGATGCATGCGTTGTTAAGGCATTTATCACTTTTTCATAATCGGCCAGATTGTCCCATGACTAGAGTTTCTCAAAACTTCTAACCCCCACATTTGTGTTAATAAATGACACTCCATACCCTCCCACATTGAGAGGGCTTTCAGGCTCCTCCCTGATTGTCTCACTCTATCTTTTAGCATGGCTTCTATGTACAGAAAATTTATCAAGTACTGTAGACCTTGTCAGCAAGGTTGCTTGCTCTCCATTCTCATGTCACTGTGGTGCTTTTAGAAAACTGAGAGCACTGTTTCCCAGCCACACCCAGAATTCCTTGAGAACCAGTCAAATGACTTCTTTGGTCTTTAAATTAGATCCGATTTTTTTTTTTTTTTTTTTTTTTGCTGGAGTACTTCACCCCAAAGCCTGAGGAATTAGATCACCAAGGGACATTGAGGGAGAGCTCCTGTTGAGAACTTACACCTTATTAATATAAATCTAGGGCTGTCTATACCACCAGTGTGTAGAGGACCAACAGTCCATTAGCACGCAGTCCCCTTTGCCACAGTGATAACTGCTCCTATGAGGCATGGCAGGTGTAATAAATCTTTGTCTGGGCAGAGGAAGACATTTCTGGGACACTAGAAAAGAAGATATTTTTAGTCCTTCTTAACTTTGTTGTTTGTAGTTAATTGTTGTTTACATATTCTACAATTTTGGAGCTAGAAAATGAAGTCAGAGATGAAGAAGGGGAAATATTTGAAGATAAGTAAAATAAGGAGGCATCCCATTGGAGAACGTTGTAGGTTTGTGACAAAAAACAAATGTATTGGTGGTATTTACGAAAATAGGCTGATCTCTTACTATTAGTGATAAGACAGTAATCCCTGAATATCAAGGTTTTCTTAAGGCTCAACAGTAATAGCATATGTAAAAATATCTGCTAAAACTATAAAGTAACATTGTCATTATTGTGGATAACATTTTAAAATGTTTAACGCTGCAATTTGATCTCCAAAATTTTTAATC